AAGTGGCCAGCCACTTCAGAAACTGACTGAATGAAGGAGAAGAAGAGCCTTCAGGAAGAGACTGGTTCCCTGATCACATTCTTGAGTCATGGGACCAACCCTGGGACCTTCCATCTACAGATTTCTCAGAAATTCTTAAGAAAAGCATTAGCATGGCAGGCTTGAGACCTCTATCCCTGGAAGGCTGAGGCGGAAGGATCGCCGGAGCCTAGCAGGTCGAGGCTGCGGTGGCCAGGAGCGGCCATTGCACTCCAGTCTGGGCGACAGAGTGAGACTCCAACTCAAAAAAAAAAGAAGGAAAGTCAGTTATTACTTACCCATCTCTAATAAGAAAATTCTTCTCACCTGCCATTTGTCATGTCTACCTCTCAGTCTTAGGTCTGTCCTCTTAAGGAACATCAATGATTTCTTTTCTACAAAAGACCTTTCAGATTTTTGGCAATGTCCCTAAGTTTCTTCTTCAAACTGAGATCTCGCTAATCAAAACAAATGTGAATTTAAAAAAGCAAACAAAATAAATAAAAACTGAGATCTTTAATTCTAACAAGTATTGTTCATAAGCTCTGGGATCCAAGCTATTGATCATTTGTACTGTAAGTCTGAGTTTGTCATCAGATCTGTGGTCATCAGAACTCAGATATTTTACTCCTACATCAAAGCAGACACATACTTTCTTTTTTTTTTTTTTTGAGTTGGAGTCTTACTTTGTTGCCCAGACTGGAGTGCAGTGGCCGCTGCTGGCCACCGCAGCCTCCACCTTCCGGGCTCTGGCGATCCTTCCACCTCAGCCTTCCGAGTAGCCGGAATTACAGGCATGCGCTACCACGCCCGGCTAATTTTTTGATTTATTGTAGAGGTGAGGTCTCGCTGCCCAGGCGGGTCTCCAACCCGCGGGCTCAGGCAATCCACTTACCTCAGCCTCCCAAAGGCGCGGGATTACAGGCTGAGCCACCGAGCCCAGCTACATACTTTCTTAAGTACACACTAACTTTTAGAACCCTTTTAGTTTGCAAGTTAGGCATCTGGAACTTGAAATGTAATTTCCCTACAGAAAAAACAGGATGGCCTAATTAACACAGTTCCATCGCACAGTTCTAGTGCACAGTTTCACTATTAACATTTTCCAAAGGAGAAGGAAGAGGAGGTGGCTCTTCCTCCATTCCTGGGCATGGCCTGGTCTTAGGGATGGTTTTGAAAGTCAAAGCTTCTTCCCACTGAAGTAAACTGTGTGAATAACACAAATATTTAATACTCCCAGAGGCAGGTTTCTTTTTTGTTGTTGTTGTTTAAGAAAGAGTACAGATAAAGCTCTAATTTGGTTTACTTTAACAAAAACCAACAAACTAATTTGTGCTAACAAAAGTTACTTTGGGGCATGTGGCCTTCAGGGGGGTAGGGAGGAGCTCTTAAGTGAGTTCCCCTATAAACTGTTCCTTCCTTTGGAGGCAGTGATCATAGGAGTTCATAATTTTATCAAGAGGGAGAGCCAAGGATCAGGCTTGGTTTTGGGTGAGGAAGTAAAATGTAAGCCTGGGTGTCCACCATTGGTAACTTTATAAATAGGTCATCAAGAACCAGGAAGTAGCCGGGCTGGTGGCTCAGCCTGTAATTCCGTGCCTTGGGAGGCTGAGGTGAGTGGATTGCCTGAGCCTGCGGGCTCGAGATCAGCCTGGGCAACTTGGTGAAACCTCATCACTACAGTAAATAAAAAAATTAGCTGGGTATGGTAGTGTGCACCTCTAGTTCCAGCTACTTGGAAGGCTGAGATGGAAGGATCGCTGGAGCCCAGCAGGTAGAGGCTGCGGAAGCTGAGCGGCCACGGCACTCCAGTCTGGGTGCCAGAGGGAGACTCCAACTCAATAAAATAAAATAAAATTAAAAAGCCGGCTCGGTGGCTCAGCCTGTAATCCCAGTGCTTTGGGAAGCTGAGGTGAGTGGATTGCCTGAGTCCACGGGTTCGAGACCCGCCCGGGCAACTTGGTGA